TCAGATCTCAGCTTAAAAGAGTCTGCCCTTGAGCAGTCTTCCCTTCCCCATAGGCCAGGTGCCCTGTCACTCTGCCCCATGCAGCAGGTTGCCTCCCTAGTATTTCTGATGAGTCATCACTATGTAATTATTTGCAGGCTTATCTCTTAACACTACACACTCACTAGACTATTATGTCCTTAAGGGCAGGAACCACATCAGGATTCTTTACTAGTGGCTCCTCAGTACCTATCACAAATGCCTGGCACAAAGAAAAAAGAAAGCATTCAATAAGTATTCATAATACCACATGATGCGGGGCAAGTCATTTAACCTGTTTCCTGCCTGTAAAATGGGGCTAAGAAGACCTCACCTCCCCTGAGTTGTGTGAAGGCTTAAGTGGGCCAACATACAGCACCTTAAAGACAGACCTGGTCCTCCTGCAGTGCAGAGAGTGATCCTGGTTAGTCTTACGTCAGCTCCCAAATCAGTCGCCAGCACTCTGTGGCATCTCAGACTCCAGCTCAACGCTGCACAAAGTGGAGAGTGCGTAGAAAGAGGGAGGATTGATCGGTTCTTGCTCTTTTCTGACACTGCCAGTTCCAAGCCCTTCCTCCTCCATCCTCTGTCTCATCAAATGACACATGAAAAACCAGAGGCCACAGCAAAGGGCATTCACAGTCTTTCTGACACTTACTCATCCAACAAATATTCAAAGCACTTCCTAAGTGCCAGGCACAGTTCTAGGTGTCAGGAATACAGCAGTGGGGGCGGAAAAGACAAAAAGATTTATTTTTTCAGTAGAAGGGAAGGGGTGGGAAGGAATTACTGGTGAGGAAATGTCAACTATTCAGACAGGAAGTCAACACTGGTTGGCTACTAAATCCAGTGAACCAGGGTTGCTCAGAAATAATCTCTTCAAAGGATTCTGTGGGCAGTTAAAACCTAGAAGAAGGGAAGGAGAGAGGATGAAAGGGGACACTCCAAATGACCACTGTCAGAAACATACTCACTAGAGACACCAGGTCTCAGTCCAGGGCGGATCACACGCCCCGCCTCTTCTGGCCACCGGCCACCATGGGCAGCTGTTGCCCTGACTCTCCCAGGTTCCTCCTCACCCACTCTGATCTACCTTCTCACACCCAGTTAGCTTGATTGCTTGATTACTTCCCCCCACCCCACATGGTATCCCAGGTCTCCCAAACTGGCAGGAAACCAAAACACTCAGCAGGAGAATAATCGCCCCCCAGTCAGCAGATCTCAGAGCCGAAGAGAAAAGATTGAAACAGGCAGACCAATTAGTCCCAGGCACTAATGCACCGTGAAGCTAGAGTGATATATGGGCCATCAGACCAGGCTGCCACAAAGGGCTCTAGGAAAACAGACACATTTTAAAAACGAAATCTACTTGCTGGCTCGCTCTACCTGGCATTCAATTAAACTAATCTGAAAGGATCGAACAAAAAACAACAAAAAGCCACCAAAAAAGAGATTAAAATCTCAACTGTTCCTCCAACATGAGCTTCCAAGCCTCTACAACATGATCTGCTGTGACCCAGTGAGAAAACAAAATCCGAGGTCACTCAGATCCTCCTCCAAAACTTGTGGGCACACAGTTTACTCTCCTGGGAACACATAATCCCAGAGGACATCGTAGGCCCAAGTTTCCACAAACTCTCACTCCCCTGGACCCAAAGGCAATCTGAATCAAAATCATTTGCAATCTGGGTCTGAACTTGTATAAATCTGAGCCGATGAAAACAGCTGGTGTCTTTCCCTGAGCTCAAAGAGAGGTAGAGTTTCCACAATTACATGGGGGAGGAGGAGGTATCAGTTAATAGGAAGAACTGAGGTTTCCTCCAAAGATTTTTTCTTAAACTGGAGGCAGCTTCAAAGGCTATCTTTGGCCTGCCACCTGGACATGAAACAAAGGTATAAGGAACAAAGGAATCAGGTAAGAAAAATAGCTACCTCATAGGACTTTTATGAGGATTAAAATGCTTAGCACAGTATCTGGCACACAGCAAACACAAATAACATAAATGAAGGAAATACCAAAGAATTACTCTTTAAAAAAAAAAAATCCCAGGCTTGCCTATGTAGACAGCTTATTTTTTCCAGGGGCATGAGTCTGTGAAGGCCTTCTGTACACACAAGTTGTGATTTCCTCTTTCTCAAGTCACATGACAACATCAAACTTATCCATGTGTCAAAGAGCATGCGACATTCCTTAAAGAAGACTCCGTCAAGGGACCCGTGATTACTCATCTCAATAGATAAGATTAAAGTCCAGTGAGAGAGGAGGACAGAGGTTAATAAATATCACGGAATTTCAAGCACCGACTATTGTATTTTCCAAATCTGGTTTGAAATCTCCATTATACCATCCCTAGAAAGAATATCTAAGGCAGCAAGACAGTAAAACATCTACTGCCAAAAAAGCTAGCACTTGATGAACTGTTCCAACTATTCCCACTGCCTCGAAGGGAAAAAATAATAAACAGAGCAGGAAAAAACGATAGCTGTGTTCTCTGCAGAGGAACACACACACACACACACACGCAAATCCAGCCTGAATTTTGAGCAACAGTTGCCACATCCAACCTTATTAATCTACTCTCCACGTAAGTGTGGGGAGTGTCTCCTCAGCTGTTTAGATTCCACAGTCAACACTGAAGTCAATGTCTGTCCGTCCAGTTTGCTCTTTAGATTACCTGCTACTTCAGCTTCTTGAAGCAAGAACAAATAAAACAATCTACCTCACCATCAGGGAACCAAAAAGCCAACCTCTTTCCACTTCTTTATACTTTTCATGCCTTCCCCATGACTGCCTCTTAAATTATTTTCCATAAAGTATATGTGATCCACCCCCAGCCAGAATTAATACCTCTTTCTGGAGCCAAAGAAATGAAAAGTCATTTGACCTCCTATTATTATTGTTAACAGTTAATAATATTATGATTATCTCTGCCAACTAAACTAGAAACTCCTCTGAGACCATGTCACACAAGCTTGGTGGATTGCTCATGCATACAGAGGTAAATATGTGTTCCCTAATGGGCCCAGGGTGAAAGATCATTAAACAGAAGTATATCCCTTCATTATCTGTGGCCCCACCATCGCCACCAACATATAAGCTCTTTAAGGCCAAAATTATTCTCCATATCCAGGGACATTTTTGGTACTTTATGAATATATTCAGCTCACAAAACAACCAATTCCCAATCAATCAGGACCTAATTCATCAATCTGGGGTCCACCCTGACCCTCCAATCCTCCTCCTCACTGGCCACTCTTCTCTGAGCAAGAAGAAATGGTAAGAACTAAACCTGCCAAGCACAGCGGACCACTAGCAGACTTGAGTCAAGTTTCCAGGATAAAAGAGACTACACTTAATAGTGACAATAATGGTTTTAGGTCATCCGTGGCTAACAAAGAACTCACTGCAATAAAACTTGATTATGAAAAACTGTCACTGAAGTCACTAAGGACAGTCTGCCTGCCAAACCCACCTCTGTAGAAGATTTTATGTCAAGAGAACATTTACAGCTCTAGGGAGCAAATCATTTCTCCGGCCCTCTGGAGAAGCAGTGAAATTACACAGTCTGCCTCTGAATTACTGATGTCATAATTTATTGAAAGGTCTCCATTAGGTCACAGGTCACACCCCAGATGCAATGCCATATACCCACCAAAAGGTCTGCA